TAATCAAGGGTAATTTTTAAGAGAAGGAGACAACTGTGAACTGTTAGCAGGCAATACTCAAAGTTGCTGGAGGATGGATAGATCAGTTTAATAAAGGTAATAGTGAAAGTGAAAGTCGCTTAGTCGTGTCCAACTCTTTGTGACCCCATGGACTGTACAGTCCATGGAATTCTCTAGGCCAGAACACTGGAGTGGGTAGCCTTTCCCTTCTCCAGGGGATCTTCCCAACCCAGGGATCGAACTCAGGTCTCCTGCATTGCAGGCAGATTCTTTACCAGCAGAGCCACAAGGGACACCCTAGAATACTGGAGTGGGTAGCCTAGCACTTCTCCAGAGGATCTTCCCAACCAGGAATTGAATCGGGGTCTCCTGCATTGCAGATGGATTCTTTACCAATAAAGGTGATGGGGAACCTCCATTACATTATCACAGATGCCTTAATTATTGTTTCATTATTCCAATGTACCTTTCCAAGTAGACACTTGAAGAGTAACATGATTTACCTTTTTATATGTAAAGTCTTTGTCTTATTGGGATACATTACAGATAAGGTCTATGATTAGACTTTTTATTTTAAAGAATGCAACTTTCAAATCTGTTGCCATGATATATTTTGAGCTCTTATATCTGTAGTAATAGTGACAATTAAAAATGCATTCACGAATATCATTTGAGTGTATTTACATTTATCCAATCTATGGAGGCTTTGTCTATGAAATAGTACATAAATATGAACTACGTGTAAGGAAATTAGTTCTGAATCTTAATTCCATCACTGTCTTCATATAAGCTCCTACAACATTACAGGTGGTAACAAAAATAAATGAATATGGTGCTTCCTACTCTCACTCCCTCAGTGCAACTTTTTGGCTTCAGAAACTTGCATTGACTCTGAAGGAGTATGTGCTGTATAAAAGACATTCAGCTAGAGTATTTCCATGGAATCCTCCCACCAGGGAAAGAGAATACCAATATCTAACTTTCTGACAGAGGCTTATCGAAGGGTATTTTATTCTGAAAGGCAGAAAAACTGATTAAATATTATTTTCCTGAAGAATTACCCAATGATAATTTAAAAATAATAAAGGTTACCTGGTAACTTACATAATGGAATTAATAATGTCTAGAAATATAAAAATATTGTTGGCTTAGAATAACTGTTTCCAAGCCAACAGAGCTTGTGTACTGAAATAAGGAAGTACTGAACCTATCAGTAGCAATTCTTGTCATCAAGAGTTAGGTTTTAAGTTATCACATATTCCTTTAGGATTTGAGACATCCCGTAGGATGAGATTTTTAAAAATTCTTTGTGGCTATATAAGAAAAAATGTCTTTATTCAAAGGAGATGCATACTGAAGTATTTCAGCAGTGAAATGTCATTATGTCTCTATTTTCAAATGATTTAGGAAAAAATTGTGATACATGCAAAGTGAGAATGTGTGCAAATGTTAACATGTTAACAAAGGAAAAAATAGCACTCCTCACTGATTTCATTAAGTAAAATGCTTTAATTTTTGAAAAAATATATGTTCATTTATTTAAATGTTTATCAAAATATTTGAAGATATCTTGAATTGTTATTTATGTTATTTGCCATCTTTCCCCCAAATGTACTAACTTGTTACTAAGTTTATAGTTTACTTTTTAACATCATATATTTATAGTTTAATGGTAGTAAAACTTCCTAAGCCATAGAACCTATACCCTATTTCCCTATTAAAATGAACATAAGGTGTCTCTGATACCTAAGAGGCTGTTATTTCTTCATTTCACCTCTGCCTTTTCCTTGGTGTATGAATCAACGCTGTTTGAAACTTTTTTCTGCAATAGATAAAGTACTAAATAACTCAATTTTCTGTAATATTTATGGTTTTCTTTCAACATTATTCTTAGTAAGCAGATTCTGAAAGTATATATCAATATCTCTGTCTCCCAACTCAACTCTTTTTCTGTTCTCTCAATTGTATTTGTTACTAACTTTTGAGAAGTTTCTAAGCTAAATATATTTGCTTTTAGCTTCAAGCATTCTGCTTTACCTTACAAATCTTTGGAGAGTCTGAGTAATTTCATGTCACTGTCCATACTGCTACATTAAAGGTGTTTCAGCCTTTTGCCCTGGCAGCTGTCTCCTGTGTGACAGATGGCCTCAGTTACAGTAAAGTAATTCTAGAATTATATTGTAATTCATATCATGGTAAAACAAGATAATTTCATGCTTATTGCCAGAATTAACTGTTTAAAGATCCCACCTAGGATGCATTTCATGCAATGGGACAAATGTACAAATGTGTGTTGATGAGTACTGCATGTAATTATGTAACCTTGACATCTCCATGTGCAGTTCTGTCATCCTATTTAGTGGGGTGAGCCCATTAGGCAACAGTTGTTGATAGGAATGATGGTAATGATTTGGACATTGCTGATGTCCACCAAGCTTCCAGCACATCTACTCCAGAGAGTACCTTAATACAGTGTTTAATTGGGAATCTTAGGCCAAAATTTGGTAATTAAAGTAACTAAAGAATGGTGTGAAATTTAAGTTACCTTTATTAGGAGATAATACTGTGGTGGTAGAGAGAATGAATTCTAGGGTCAGATGAGCTGGATGAGAATACCAGAACTTTCACGTGTTAGCTGGTATTGAGTCTGTTTGTTGATGTTGACATTATTTTGTTTACTTACTCAAGAATTCATTCATTGACTCTTTCATTCACTCATTCATTTAGTTAGTGTGTGTTGAGCTGGTTAGCAGGCACAGTTCTAGGCACTGAGGGTAAAGAAGTGAACTAGAGGGACCAAGTCCTTGACCTCAGGAGGCTTACATCCTACTGGGGAGACAAAGCAAGCAAAAAGTGGGTACATGACATCGGAGAACAATAAGTCCTATGAAAAAAAAATATGAAATAACAATTTGGATCAAATGACTAGGAAGGTGGTTTTGCTGGCAGGGAAGTTAGGGAGTCTTGGAGGAGGTGACATGTGGAGGAAGGTAAGGAGGATCCATGCAAGTTGGTTGGTGTGAGAGGTTCAGTGCAGAGGGAACAATGAGTTCAAAGCCTAAAATGAATATTTTTATGAAAGATGAATGAAAATTTGTAAGCTCAGCACATATTTAAGTGCTCATCAGATATTAGATAATACTTGAAGAAATTTGGATAATTCCATAATGTGTCACCTTTGCTCTAATATACATCTTCCTTTTCATTTTGATCATTTTCCCTCTCTTGAATTCTCCATTATTTTTCCTGTCCTTAGATCCTTTAGGTTGCCCTTTTGTTAATCTCAAGTGAGTTAAACTCTACTTGCAGTGCTCAAATGCTCTTGCTGTTAGGGGTCCTCTTTTCTTGGTTTTTGCCGTTTTACTCAGCATTTATATACTGCAAGCTATGGCAAATTGATTATCTTTCTAGATGTGGGGCAACTGCCCTCTCTAGGTAGGAATCCACAGCCTCTCTGTGATCATAATAATGGTGATGGACCTGTCCTATGGTGACCTATTGTTGTGGTGGGGATATGGTGGTGTAGAAGTGATAAAAATGGTAACAAGATATCATTTGAAAGGTGGTGCTTCCAGGAAACCCAGAAAACCCAACTAGTCCCCATGCCATCAGCTCCATGTCCCACCATGGATTTTACTTTACTCTGCCTGATGCTCCCAGAAATCAGAGCAAAGTAATGGTCTGCCTCTGTCTCTGGCTGTGAAACCACTACTAAATATGACCCACTTTTGTTGTATTACTTTCTGCCTTGTTTGGCTGTACAAGACTTACTCTTCACTTTATCAGTGTGTGTCCAGAAAGAAAAAAAAAATCATACACTAATTTGAACACAGAGAATGTGTGTAGAGATTTGTTCAGTGCAACAGGTTATCGGAGTACTGAAGGATTGGCTAGTAAGAAAGATGTATTAGTCTGCTCAGGCTGCCATAACAAAATACCATAGACTGGGTGGCCTACACAACAGAAATGTGTTACAGTTCTGGAGGCTGAGAAGTTCAAGCTCAAAGTGCTAGCTGATTTGGTTTCTGGTGAGGGCACGCTTACCCACTTACTAATGGCCACCTTGGTGTGTGCTCATGTGACATCTTCTCTATAAGTAGCAAGAGGAGAGAGACTGCAAGCTCTGGTGTCTCTTCTTATAAGAGCACCACTGTCTTCCTAAGGGTTCTACCCTCATGACTTCATATAAAGCTAATTACTTCCCCAAGGCCCCTCCTCCATGTACCATTACATTCTCAATTAAGGCTTCAAAAAATGAGTTTAAAGAGAATGCATTCAGTCCATAGCAAAAGATAACCATAAAGAATAGGGGAATGGTTGCCATCTCCCCTTGCTGAGAGAGAGCCTCCAAAGAGTAGCTCCCATCCTCCATTCCCAGAGTGAAATCCAGACCTCACTGGGAAAAGGCAAGGCTTAAAGTCACTGAGATGGCACCCTGGTAGAACTGGTTGGAAGTCTGCCCTCTGCAATTGGACAGAAACGCCTTGCCCTCTAGGGTATCGGGGACAAGCTGTCCGTTTGATGTCTCACCCGAGGCTCTGCTAAAAGATTATCAAGCTGCTGCAGTGCACACTGCAAGAGTCTTCCAAGCAAGCATTAGAGCCAGGGTGCAAAACCCTTTCCTTTGCAGTCTCTCTCCAGCACCCTAAACATCAGTGCCAGCTAGCAAAGGAAACTATTTCACAGGTCCGGATCCATTTTCAAAAAACAGGAAAACATTTGGATTTAGAGTGGGAATGCCATAAGCCAATAGCCATCACACTGATTAAAGTAAGAATAAATATCAGCAGAAGCAAACTAAGTGAAGAAGATATTGTTTGTTAGTAGGATAAATTGCTTTCCAGTGCCCTTCTGAGTTTTATCCATCGCTGCACCATTTGTGCCTAGGGAAAAATTTTGTCCAATAGAGATGCTCAATAAATATCGTTGAATGAATAACCTAATTACTTCCATTGTTTTCTCTAATGTTTTTTTTTTCTCTTTCTCTTTTTTGACTATAGCCGATGGATGCACAGATTGGTCTGTCGATATCAAGAAATACCAAGTTTTGGTGGGAGAGCCTGTTCGCATCAAATGTGCACTCTTTTATGGTTATATCAGAGCCAATTACTCCCTAGCCCAAAGTGCTGGACTCAGTTTGATGTGGTACAAAAGCTCTGGTCCTGGAGACTTTGAAGAGCCAATAGCCTTTGATGGAAGTAGAATGAGCAAGGAAGAAGACTCCATTTGGTTCCGACCAACTTTACTGCAGGACAGTGGTCTTTATGCCTGTGTTATCAGGTATGCTTTTCATCCTGTTACTGTTGAAACAATGATATCACAGGTTGCTGTCTTATATACCTATATTTTGTGGCTCTCTCTTTAACCTCAAGGTATTGTCTCAATATTTGTGTGTGTTGCTGCTTTCTAACATTTAGAATCTAAATCATAAAAAGATGGGATTGGAATTTATATTGAGACATTATTTCTGGCTTATGGAGAAAAGAGATACCATCTGGGTATCTACTTATGTTGCCAGAAATTACTAAACACTATGAAATAAAATTTATAGAGGAGGTGAAATGTTGCAAATAAAATGTAAGCAAAGACTTGCAGAAAGGATGCATAGTTTATTGCTAAATGGGTTGTAACATTCTGTTATTGCCCTTCACAGATAGTGCACAGATACCTCTGGTTCACACACATCTGCAAAGATGATTTAAGTAACATGTATGTGCATAGAAAGCGGAAAGCAGCCTTGCCTTGGTAAAAGTACAGAGACTATGTTCCAGATCATTTTGTTAACTTAAAGTGCTGTGTGTGCACTCTTATGTGCTCAGTCATGTCTGACTCTTTGTGACCCCATGGACTGTAGCCCACCAGGCTCCTCTGTCCATGGGATGCTCCAGGCAAGAATGCTAGAGTGGGTTGCCATTTCCTCCTCCAGGGGATCTTCCCAACCAGGGATTGAACCCACATCTCCTGGTCTCCAGCATTGGCAGGCGGATTCTTTTACCTCTGAGCCACCTGGGAAGCCATCAAAGTGCTGAGTCAATACAAAAATATTTTGGGTCCCCCCATGCCTTTACTCCACAAAGAAACTGATCACACATCTACATGTCTTTGTCTGCTTTTAGAAGAGATGTATGTACTTTGCTTAATGATAATGCATTGCGACAATAGCTATGTATCATATTAGCAGTGAAAAATCTCAGTTTAAGCATTTAGCCCCACATGGGCTGTGAATCACACCCTGCATGAATGCTTGCAGATGTCATTAGACTATAAGAACATTGGCATAGCAGGGTATAGGCATATAGAAAGAGGGTTTAAATTGATTCCTTTGTGTCCCTATTTCAACTTACTAAGAGAAAGCCAAATCTAAAGCAGTTGATTCTCAATTTGGAGAAACTCTCAGAATCATCTAGTATCTTTTCCAAATCAAAATTCAACTTTCACTTCTGAAATTCTCATTGGCAGCTATTATTCCTCTAGCATAAGGATTGTGTCTCCCACTCACCATCAACCTAAAAGAACTACTTTTATGAAGAGTCGTGGCTGCAGGTATGTTAGGTTGTCAAAATGGGTGAAAGCCACATGAAGGTTAAATATAATTTTATCTTTTAAACACTGTCAACATATAAGTTAGAGTTAAGTTTGGAAAATAAAAATGAATGCAAATAAAGTTCTGCTTGGGAAAAATGTTGAATGAATTATATTAATAAAAGAACAAATGCATTATTCCTTTGTCAGCTTTTGTTCTTTCCCTTAAAAATGGGAATCCAACCCTTTTATATTTCAGCTTAATTCTTAATAGAAGTAGTTTTTGTAGGTACAATGATAATTAATTGCTATACTATGTTGACAAAGAGCCAAGTCATTGGAACAAACCCTGATTCTGGGAAAGATTGAGGGCAAGAGGAGAGGGGGGCAACAGAGAATGAGATGGTTGGATGGCATCACCAACTCAATGGACATGAGTTTGAGCAAACTCCAGGAAAAAGTAAAGGACAGGGAAGCCTGGCGTGCTGCAGTCCATGGGGTCACAAAGAGTCGGACACGACTGAGTGAACAACAATATAGTTAGAGAGTACTGTTTGTACTGGCTATTCCTACTTGACTAATAATAATTCGATTTAATTTCACATCTGCATTTATTTAAAAAAAACATGATTTCTGATTGTTTATGTGAGTGTAGAGGTGACTCTTTAAGATAGACCAATTTATGTCCTCCTTTATCAGAGATTAGACTTGAGCTGAATGTCCACAGTCTAACATTTCATTCCATTATTTATTACTGATGGGAAAATAGTGATGTGTTCAGATTAGTAACCTGAATTTCTAAAGCTCTGAAGTTGCCATTCTTTGATGTATTTAAATATACATATTGGTCCAATGCTCTGAGAAATTGTACTAAAATGTCTCTGAATTTGTAGTTGCAATAATGAATGAAGGTCACAAAATTTTGAAACCATGACATTTGTCATATGTCCATGTGTCTACATTTTAACGGAAGATGAAAGTAAAAGAAAAACACCTTTAAGTTTTGTGTATCAAGTGGTATTCTAGAGGAAGCGATGAACTGCAGGAAAAGATGCTTTTGTCCCTGGAATTCAAGTGTTCCAATTGATTTGAAGCTAGTGTTGATCTGACTCCCTTTTCCAATTTGGAAAGCAGGACTCAAAATCATTATAAACAGCAGTTTAAGTAGAATGACTTGCTGTTGATGTGAAGGGAGCCCAGGGCTGTTAGTTGAATCACTGACACTTTAACACGTTGTTAGCTCTCAGGCCACACAATTGTCACCATTAGTTTTTAAATAATTCACTTACAAAGAGTTTCAGAAGTTTGAAAACGATAGCTGCTACTGCAAGGCTCTAGTCTTTCTGATAAGTGCTCTGTGTTATTAACTTATCAATGAAATGGTTTAATGAGTGTTTTCACATACAACATTTATACCTAAACGGTGGTGGTGGTTTAGTCGCCGTCTTGTCTGACCCTTGAGACCCCATGGACTGTAGCCTGCCAGGCTCCTCTGTCCATGGGATTCTCCAGGCAAGAATACTGGAGTGGGTTGCCATTTCCTTCTCCATTACACCTAAATATGTACAATTAAATGATGTAAATAATGCAAACACCTAAAATTACTCTCAGTAGAGTGAATAAGAGCTTTCCTACTCCCTTCTATAAGTAGCCATTTTGGACAGAATAATATCACATCATTCTTTGTTCTGTAGTACCTGGCTCTTTACTCAATTTTCTTCTCCTTGAATGTTTATTTTTACATGAAAAAGTGAGTGAAGGAGATGTGCAGTAATTTCTTTTCTTTTCCTTTTGTTGCCATCTAATGAATAAGTTTACTTTTTAAAAGAAAAATGTTTTTCTTATCCTCTTGACTCCCAATTTTTAAATACCCCTCTTCTGAGTTATGCCCTTTTAACAGTTTCATATGCATATCTGGCTGGTGCTCATGTAAGCAATTTAATGCCTCCTGTATTGTAATAGACTAAGTTGTTTGTCACTCTATTTTTTTTACTGAAATTTTATTTTGTAGATTCATATTTGTAGATTCATATGCATTTGCAAGATATAGTATAAGGAGGTCCCATGAATCCTTTAGCCAGTTTCCATCAGCAGTGACAGTTTGCAAAACTATAGTACAAAATCATAATCAGAATATTGATGATGCTACATTCAAGATACAGAACAATGTCATTACCTCCAGGATCCCTTCTGTTGTCCATATTCACTTCCCTACCCCAGTCCCAAATCCCTGGCAAACACTAATCTGTTCTCCATATCTACTTTTTGTAATTCAAGAATGTTTTATAAATGGAATCATAGAGGATATCACCTTTTGGAATTGGGTTTTTCAGTCAACATAATTCCTTTGAAATTCACCCTGGTTGTTCAACGTAGTCTGTTCTTATTTATTGTTAAGTAATGTTACATGGTATGGACATTACCACAGTGTTTATTCACGCACTGAAGGACGTCTCTGTTGTTTCCATTTTTCGTTATTGAAAATAAATCTTCTGTGAATATCCATGTATATTTTTAGTGAATATAAGTTTTCATTTATCTGCAATAGATGCTCTAGAGTGAACTTGAGTTGTATGATAGTTGCATGTTTAGTCATGTAAGAATTGAAAGTCACTCAGTCATGTCCGACTTTTTGCGACCCCATGGACTGTATAGTCCATGGAATTCTCCAGGCCAGAGTACTGGAGTGCATAGCCTGTCCCTTCTCCAGTGGATCTTCCCGACCCAGGAATCGAACTGGGGTCTCCTGCATTGCTGGAACATTCTTTACCAACTGAGCTATCAGAGAAGCCCCATCATATAAGAAACTGCCATATTATTTTCCAGAGTAGTAGTACCATTTTATTACATTCTCACCAGCAATATGCAAGTGATCTGGTTTATCCACATGCTTGCAGCATTTGGTATTGTCACTATTTTTCATTGTAACCATCAGTACATCTTGATACCTCTTGATTTTAATTTTCATTTCCCTAATGGCTAATGATGGGATTTTGTGTGCTGATTTGCCATTTCTGTGCTCATCAGTGAAATATCTGTTTATGTCTTTTGCCCATTTTATAGCTGAATTATTTGTGATCTAACCGCTGAGTTTTGAGAATTCTTTATATATTCTAGGTAGTAATCCTCTTTTGGATATGTGGCTTGCAAATATTTTCTGTCAATCTGTAGTTTGTCTTTTCATCCTCCTAACAGGTTTTTTTGCAGAGCAAAAGTTTTTGTTTTTTTCCTTTTATGGATTGTGCTTTTGGTACAAAATATAGGAACTCTTTCCATAGTCTATATCCTTAAACTTTTCTTTTTAAAATTATTGGAGTTTTTACCACTAGTTTTATAGCTTTAAATTTTACTCTCTGCTCCATCTTGAATTAATATTTATATAGGGTATAAAGTTTATTTTGGTCAAGGTGTAGCTTTTTGAATAGATGTCCAGTTGCTCCAGCATCATTTGTTGAAAACATCTAGCTTCCTCCATGGAATTACTTTTGCACATTTATACAAAATCCATTGGGTGGATTTGTGTGGGCAGCAGATGAGATGGTTAGATGGCATAACTGGCTCAATGGATATGAATTTAAGCAAACTTCCATAGATAGTGGAGGACAGAAGAGCCTGGTGTACTACAGTCCATGGAGTTGCAGAGTTGGATATGACTTAGGAACTGAACAACAACCAGTTTCTAGATTCAGTATTATATAATTTTGATCTATGTGCCTATTCCTTGGCCAGTACCACTCTGTCTTGGTTAATGTGGCTAT